CAAGCTGTTGCCAAACTACAAGTCCCATGTGGCATTGCAAGATTGACAGTCACAAGCATGACTCCCAAAGGCAGAGGCATGATGAGACTTGTAGTTTCACAACAGCTGGAAGGCCACCGGTTTGATACCCCTGGTCAAGAGGAATGAGCCAGCTTCATGGCGCAGCTCCCCTGCTTCCTCAGGTTTCTTCTTCATGAACTCCCCTGCGTCATGAGTAAATGCTGAGATGGCATGAAATGCATTGACGACTCCTTCAGCCCTCAGTGTCTTGCTTTTACTATTGAAGATGTTATTACAACTATAAAGCGGATGATTTCTTTCAGAGAGCAGAGGTCCAAGTCTTCTGCCTTTATCTACCTGCACAGCTCAACGATCTGGGCTAGCACCTGTTTCTAGTGACTGGTGTGGAGGATTGTTCATGGCAAGCTCCCCTTGAGTGGCGGCTTTACTATAGTCCCTTACTACTGAGCTACCAGCAATTATTGCACAATATAGTATAAAGAATGCAATGGTCAGGAGTGTTTAATGTATAGAGCATAGGGGTTAGGAGAGCATAATACGTGTAGTACAGGGTCAGAAGTGCCTAATGTACAGAGCACAGATATCAGGAGTGCGTAACACACAGAGTACAGGGGGTCAGAAGTGCCTAATGTACAAAGCACAGATATCAGGAGTGCGTAACACACGTTGTACAGGGGTCAGAAGTGCCTAATGTACAGGGCACAGATATCAGGAGTGCCGTAACACGTGTAGTACAGGGGGTCAGAAGTGCCTAATGTACAGCACACAGATATCAGGAGTGCGTAACACACGTTGTACAGGGGTCAGAAGTGCCTAATGTACAAAGCACAGATATCAGGAGTGCGTAACACACGTTGTACAGGGGTCAGAATGTGCACAGGGCACAGATATCAGGAGTGCGTAACACACACAGGTACAAGGGTCAGAAGTGCCTAATGTACAACGCACAGATATCAGGAGTGCGTAACACACGTGTAGTACAGGGGTCAGAAGTGCCTAATGTACAGCGCACAGATATCAGGAGTGCGTAACACGTGTAGTACAGGGGTCAGAAGTGCCTAATGTACAGCACACAGATATCAGGAGTGCGTAACACATGTAGTACAGGGGTCAGAAGTGCCTAATGTACAAAGCACAGATATCAGGAGTGCATAACACACGGAGTACAGGGGTCAGAAATGCCTAATGTACAGAGCACAGATATCAGGAGTGCGTAACACACGGAGTACATGGGGTCAGAAGTGCCTAATGTACAGCGCACAGATATCAGGAGAGCATAACACGTGTAGTACAGGGGTCAGAAGTGCCTAATGTACAGCGCACAGATATCAGGAGTGCGTAACACGTGTAGTACAGGGGGTCAGAAGTGCCTAATGTACAAAGCACAGATATCAGGAGTGCATAATACACGTAGTACAGGGGTCAGAAGTGCCTAATGTACAAAGCACAGATATCAGGAGTGTGTAACACACGGAGTACAGGGGTCAGAAGTGCCTAATGTACAGCGCACAGATATCAGGAGTGTGTAACACACGGTAGTACAGGGGTCAGAAGTGCCTAATGTACAGCGCACAGATATCAGGAGTGCGTAACACACGGAGTACAGGGGTCAGAAGTGCCTAATGTACAGCGCACAGATATCAGGAGTGTGTAACACACGGAGTACAGGGGTCAGAAGTGCCTAATGTACAGCGCACAGATATCAGGAGTGCGTAACACGTGTAGTACAGGGGTCAGAAGTGCCTAATGTACAAAGCACAGATATCAGGAGTGCATAACACACGGAGTACAGGGGTCAGAAGTGCCTAATGTACAGCGCACAGATATCAGGAGTGTGTAACACACGGAGTACAGGGGTCAGAAGTGCCTAATGTACAAAGCACAGATATCAGGAGTGCGTAACACACGTTGTACAGGGGTCAGAAGTGCCTAATGTACAGAGCACAGATATCAGGAGTGTGTAACACGTGTAGTACAGGGGTCAGAAGTGCCTAATGTACAGCGCACAGATATCAGGAGTGCGTAACACATGTTGTACAGGGGTCAGAAGTGCCTAATGTACAGAGCACAGATATCAGGAGTGCGTAACACACAGAGTACAGGGGTCAGAAGTGCCTAATGTACAAAGCACAGATATCAGGAGTGCGTAACACATGTTGTACAGGGGTCAGAAGTGCCTAATGTACAAAGCACAGATATCAGGAGTGTGTAACACACGGAGTACAGGGGTCAGAAGTGCCTAATGTACAGCGCACAGATATCAGGAGAGCATAACACAGATATCAGTGTAGTACAGGGGTCAGAAGTGCCTAATGTACAGCGCACAGATATCAGGAGTTCGTAACACGTGTAGTACAGGGGTCAGAAGTGCCTAATGTACAGCGCACAGATATCAGGAGTTCGTAACACATGTAGTACAGGGGTCAGAAGTGCCTAATGTACAGCGCACAGATATCAGGAGTGCGTAACACACAGAGTACAGGGGTCAGAAGTGCCTAATGTACAGAGCACAGATATCAGGAGTTCGTAACACGTGTAGTACAGGGGTCAGAAGTGCCTAATGTACAGCGCACAGATATCAGGAGTGCGTAACACACGGAGTACAGGGGTCAGAAGTGCCTAATGTACAGCGCACAGATATCAGGAGTGCGTAACACACGGAGTACAGGGGACAGAAGTGCCTAATGTACAGAGCACAGATATCAGGAGTGCGTAACACACAGATTACAGGCGACAGAAGTGCCTAATGTACAGAGCACAGATATCAGGAGTGCGTAATACACGGAGTACAGGGGTCAGAAGTGCCTAATGTACAGAGCACAGATATCAGGAGTGCGTAACACACAGAGCACAGAGGTTAGGGATCGCATAACACACTTGGCATAGGAGTCAGGAGTGCCTAATGCACAAAGAGTAAAGGACAGGAGTGCCTGGGACAGGAGTGCAAAACCAGGATAGATCACCCTCCCAGTACAGATCTTCTGCCAGTACAGTTCTCCTCACTACAGATCTTTCCCCCCAGTATGCATTTTTCTTCTGTACACTCCCCCCAGTACAGATTCCCCCCATTATAGCTCCCCCAGTACAGATCTTCCCCCTTTGTACATTTCTCCCCAGTACAGCTTCCCTCTCTTAGTACAGCTCCCCCAGTACAGATCTTCCCTTAGCACAGCTCACCCAGGTACAAATCTCTCTTCTTCCAGTACAGCTCTTTCAGTACAGCTCCCCCCCCCCCCCCCTTAGTACAGCTCCTCCCCCCAGTACAGATCTTTCCCCCCTGTACAGATCCTCCCCACAGTACAGATTGTATCCACTCAGTACAGGTCCTCCCAGTGCAGATCCCGCCAGTACAAAAGCTCTTCCAGTACGGATCTCCTCTTAGTACAGCTCCCCCTGGTACAGATCTCTGCTCCCTGTACAAATCTCCCCCACAGTACAGATTGTACTCATTCAGTACAGGTCCTCCAAGTGCAGATCCCCCAGTACAACAGCTCTCCCCTTAGTACAGCTCCCCCAGGTACAGATCTCCTTTCTTCTAGTATAGCTCCCCCCAGTACAGATCCCCTCTCCTTACTACAGCTACCCCTTCCTCAGTACAGATCTCTCTCCCATGTACAGATCTCCCCCACAGTACAGATTATACCCACTCAGTATCACCCCCTCCCTTAGTACAACTCCTCCCCAGTACAAATCTCTCCCCCCCAATACAGATCTTTCCCCCCTGTACAGATCTCCCCCATAGTACAGATTGTACCCACTCAGTACAGGTCCCCCACAGTGCAAATCCCCCAGTACCACAGCTCCCCCCACTACAGATATCCCCCTTTCCCCCCAAACACAATGCCTGTAAACACCTTCAAAATTATGTCTGGGAAAATAAAAAAAAAAAATTTTCCCCCCATGACGGGCCAACACCTGCAGCACTCCCCCTTCCTCTCATGAAGTTCCAGTGCATTATTCTTGTACATACTGGCAACTCTTCTTATCATTTCACACTAGAAAAAAAAAACAGAATCTCTGCAGTATTGATTGGTATACAGAGATCATGTGACCTTTGCTGCCTAGGCTGGGAACTGGGGATCAGCTCTTTGTTTTTTCTCATGGCAAGAAGGAAGAACTTTGTCCTCTCTATATAACAAAGCCATTTGGTAGTGCTAGGTTGATTGATTTAAAAAGTGAATGTTGGTAATAATTCCACTTTAAATGTAAAGAATGCAAATTGTTTAATAATAGCAAAGGACAACAAAGAATCAGATTTATTTAATAGAACAGAAATCAGAAAACAGGCTTTCATATTGAAATATTGCTTCTGCATACGGCAAACCATTTTTTCATTACAACCTGTAATTCTTTATTCCTTAAACTGTATATGATGGGATTAAAAAAGGGCGTGACAACAATATACAGCAAAGACAGGGCTTTGTTGATGCCGGTGAAATGTCCTTTGGTAGGAACCATATACACTATAATGAGAGTCCCATAATATGTACACACTACAGTCAAGTGAGAGCTGCAAGTAGAGAAGGCTTTCTGTCTGCCCGTCTTAGAGGGAATCTTCAGTATTGTCAGGAAGATATTGACGTAGGTCGTCATAATGAATAAAAAGGGAAAGAGAATGATGGGTATTGAACACACAATTATTTCTGTTTCTACAGCATAAACATCTGAACACGAAAGTTTCAGGAAAGGAGCCAGGTCACAGAAGAAATGATCAATTGTGTTGGGACCACAGTACTCTAGGGTGCTCACCAAAAATTCCCGGTATTAATGTTACGCAAAAACCTAATACCCAAGACCAAGTAACCAAATGGAGACGGAGGTGGATGTCCATGATTGAAAGGTAATGTAGAGGGTAACATATGGCCAAGTATCGGTCATAAGACATCACTGTAAGTAGAAAGGATTCTGTACACGTTGAGCAACCAAAGAGGTAGAACTGGAGAAAACATTCCACTACTGGCATGGAAACCACCTCTACCAGTAAAATATGTAACATGTTTGGGATGATATTGGTAGTGCAAAATACATCACAAAGTGATAGGTGGCTCAAGAAGAAATACATAGGTGATCGGAGTTTTTTACTCAATAATACAAGCATCATGATTAGAAAATTCCCTGATAAGATAATAATGTATATTAGGAGAAAGAAGCAGAAGAGGGGATATCTAAGACTTTGGGCATGCTGAAACCCAAGAAGCTGGAAGAACAATATGGAAGATTGATTCCTCTGCATAGCCTGGAATTGTTAAAGCAATGTTAAGCTTACATGATATGTGTTTGATATCAGATAGTCAGTAATATGGACCATACCATTTTGAACGGGCACAGAAGACTAGATTCCTTCATCAACACTAATTGGAGTTGTTACCATAATTGCCACAACAGCTGTGGCTTTTAAATCAGGTTGCCAACCCTCTTTTCGGTTTTCTACATATACCCTTGAAACAAGTAGTGGATTGGCTATTACAGTTATTTATTTTCATGAAGCCTTAACCACTTCCCGCCCGGCCCATGTACATAAAGAGCCGGAAGGGAGCACTGCAAGAGCGGGTTGCCGTTCATAAACATTTATAGCCTGTGCGCGCTCCCTGGGAGCGTGCGAACACCGATCGCTGTATGGGACCTCTGTGTGTGTGGTCCTGATCATGTGATCACTGATTCGCCAATCAGTGATTACATGAATAGTAGTAAGCAAGATGCCACTTCCTGACATCATTGCTTACTACTAGTGAAATCTGTGAATGATCACAAAGGTCACATGGTAAGTATAGACATGTTTGTTATTTTTTTCTTAACCACTTCCCATCTGGACTATGTAGATCAACGGACGGACGGGAGCGCTGCCAATGTGGGTAGGCGTTTCTAAATGTCCCCCTGCATCCATTGCCGGTGAGCACTCCCTGGGAGTTCACGGCACCATAATAGGTGCCCACTGTGTCCTCCAGACACAGCGAAACACAGATTGCTGTACTGATTGGCCAATCAGTGTTCACATGAATAGTAGTAAGCAAGATGTCACTTCTGACATCGTTGCTTACTACGTGTGAAATCTGTGAATGATCACAGAGATCACGAGGTACAAGGCTATTCACAACAGCTTTGTACCATGTGACAAGCTGTGACCAATCATAGCTCTCACAGTATGTCTCAATGGCTGCAAGAATGCAGTCAGAGAAAATGAGAAATTATTGCTTTTACAACCTTTATGGGTGTAAAAGCAATCAGTGTAAAAAAAAAAAAATCTTCATCACCCCCCCCCCCACAAGTAGTACCATGGTGACACTGTACTGCTAGGGTGCCACTATGTTAAAAAAAAACCCATAAATAATAATATTAAAAAATAAAATAAAAATGTTAAATATTTTTTTTTTTTAAATTATAATTTTTGGTTATAAACTAATTTGGGTTATTTTTTTTTCACTAAAAAGATAACTGAATAAATTTTGGCCAAGATTTATGAAGAAAGATTATTTATTTGCTAAATTTTATAAGAAAAACACTTTTTTTTCAAAATTTTTGGACATTTTCATTTATATAGCAAATAATATAAAAACCCCAGTGTTGCATGACCGCGCAATTGTCATTCAAAGTGTGATAGCACTGAAAGCTGAAAAATGGCCTGGACAGGAAGGGATGCCTGAGAGGCATCACCAGCAAGGCTCCCACTCTTCATCCATTACACATCTGCATCAGAGGCTGGTCATTAGCTCTGAGGAAAGGGATTCGTCCGCAAAACGCATCAGCCATTTGACCGCACTGACAGTGAGGACACCTTGCCTGCCGTTGTGGCCATCGTCATTTTTCTATGCTTTTTAGATACATGCTTCGTTTGTGAGTATGTTTTTATTATTTTTTACTCTTTACAATAAACCTTGGATAATGCACTAGGTGTGTGCGCCTTCTGTTTTCTCTTTATCTTGTTCTGCGATCCCCCGATCCTTACCTTGTCCTGCAATCCTGCAATGTCCTCCCGCTGTGTCCTCCGCCGCATCTGTGTTCCGGGTTCCGTTCCCTGTGAGCGTCGGGACGCAGGGAGGCAGAACCGGCGGGAGATTAAAAAAAGTAAAAATATGACATACACACAATACATTGTAATCTGTTAGTTGGTGCATTCCTGTATCAAACAATTTCACATACATTTTGTCCCGAGTGCTTTGTCCGGCGCCCTGCCTGCATTTTTACCGTTCTTTCTGCCTGGAAACTTGAAAACGTCCATGGCGTCCAAAAAGTGTCCCTTTAGGTCAAAGATAGTTTTAGACTGGCCAGAGAACAGCGATAGTGAATTAGAACCACTTGCAGAATTGAGTGCTAATGATTCGTCATCAGACACTGAAAACGATTCTGCGACTTTGCTCAGCGATGTGCGAACTTGGCGCTCTATTTCAAATTTCAGTGTTTTTGGTTTGATTACATTATTGGATTAAATGTCTTATTATTATATTATTATTATTTTTTATAATTATTTATTATATTATAATTTATGATTTCGTGTTTCAAACTTTATCATACCCGGGATGTTTACTAGACTCTTGTTCGGACAGATTTCAGTGAGTTAGTCCTAAGAATTACAGGCCTACAATATAAAACAACACATTTCCATGCAAAACAATGTACCGCTTTGACATTTAAAAATATTGATTAGATAGACCGCCAGGGAGGTTGATAGCAAAAAGTCAAAAATATTGGTTTTTTTTCCCTCAAAATTGTCACTTTTTTTGTTTATAAAAAAATTAAAAACACACAGGTGATCAAATACCACCAAAAGAAAGTTCTATTTGTGGGAAAAAAAGGACATACATTTCATTTGGGTACAGAGCTGCATGACCGCGCAATTGTCAGCTAAAGTAACGCAGCGCCGTAATGCAAAAAATGGCTGCTCAGGAAGGGGGGTAAATCCTCTGGAGGGCAAGAGTTTACTACCACTTTAAGCACCAAAAATAACCTGGTATGGTCTTTTGACACTTTTTCCTCTAGTACATGTTAGAACACAAGAATTCCTCTTTTCTTTCTAATATTTCACTTACCAATAAATATGACCTGTTTTAAAAATGTTGCAAGAATGGAGACTTACATTTCCATATACTGTATTATATATAAACCCGGAGATACGGTCAATTAACAGAGAGTGCATGTGAGGCTATAGCAGTGTTTATAACAGGATTGTCCAAGATTTTCTTACAGTTTGAATTAATAGCTGTTTATATATTGGAGGTTTTCTAAAGGTAATCGGGTAGTTCCCGGAGGATTTGCAGTCAGTCCACTGAGAAATTAAAATGTTTACTAAAATTATCTCATTATAAGGAATACATCAATTAGGTATAATAACAACTAATTATTAAGACTGCACCGGGAATAGATGTGTTATATGTGTATCAAATGGATACAATAAATCAATGATAGAGTTTAGGAAAACTTATTGTGGTTTGATAGCAAAGTCACGCTGGTATTCGATCAGAATAAGAACTATGCCAGTGGGTGCACTAATCAAAGGTTGCCTGCAAAAAGAAACTCATATGAAAAAAACACCCCTGTACGAAAGAGGTTTTTAATGTTCTACTGGGTAATCTTTATTAGAAAACAAAGACAGGTTGTTTACAGAGCTCTATAGTTCAAGCTGAAGCTTTTACACAGAACTGAATAATTTGGGTAAATGACTCTCCCATTACTCCGTCTGCTCCGATGGGGTTGTATTGAGTTTAGATTAGAGAAGGAGGATCACAAAAATATAACCTGCAGCTGTGGGCTCTCTTCAGGAAAGCCAGAATGTTCACATACCTTGTTAGAGCCCAAAGTGATGAGAGGGCTTCCCTTTCAGCTCTGGTCAAAACATCCTTGGAGATGGTGACAAGGAGTGCAGGGTACACAGTGGCACAGGTGCCAAAAGTGCAGTTTGCTGGTGGCTGCCCTTGGAGGTGCTCAGTAGGGTTGCTTTGTAGCCAGGCAAGTCTTAGAAGGATCATGGAGATACACTTTAGAGGAGCATTTCAAGCCTAGCTGCTGGAGGAATGAGATGATGTAGGAGAGGACCAGCGGGGGAAGACCAAAGGGTAGTGGTGGTGCAAGACTTTGGATTTTTTTGGGAAAGTGGCAGAGTCACTTTAAGGTTGGTCTCAAATATGTCTTCTACAATATTTGTTCTACTTGTTGTTGAAGATGAATGATCTTATCAAATCATTAAACAAGTTTGCAAACTCATGGTGTATGATGCATTTATAAAAAAAAAAAGGAATTCACCATAAATACTCAATTGGTATAGCTAGCAATTCCTATTAAACCCTGTACTGGAGAAATCCTGTTTAGGGAGTATCACACTACCACGACAGTCCAACAGCCTGTAATATAGTTCTGTTCTCCTTTTCTGCTGACTGCTCATTGGGACCCAAAGTTTTATGCTGGAGCACTCAGGTTAGAGTCCCTTTAAGAACTGATGCCTGTACCAACAATGTGTTACATTCAGGCAAATCAGGTATGAGTGTGAGGAACAGTGCCCCATCATTGGTATCAGTGGGAGAAATAGTGCCTCATTGTTAGTGTCAGTGGGAGGAATATTGAACCAACATTGGTGTCAGTGGGAGGAATATTGACCCACCATTGGTATCAATATGAGGAATAATGCCCCATCATAGGTATCAGTGTGAGGAACAGTGCCCCATCATTGATGTCAGTGGGAGAAATAGTGCCTCATTGTTAGTGTCAGTGGGAGGAATATTGACCCAACATAGGTGTCAGTGGGAGGAATATTGACCCATCATTGGTGTCAGTGGGAGGAATATTGACCCCACCATTGGTGTCAGTAGGAGGAATATTTACCCACCATTGGTATCAATATGAGGAATAATGCCCCATCATAGGTATCAGTGGGAGGAATAGTGCCCCATCATTGGTATCAGTGGGAGGAATATTGCCCATCATTGGTGTCAGTGGGAGGAATATTGACCCACCATCATTGGTATCAGTGGGTATCAGTGGGAGGAATATGCCCCATCATTGGTATCCCCCATTGTATCAGTGGGAGGAATATTGCCCCATTTGGTAGTGGGAGGAATATTGCCCCATTGTTAGTGTCCCCCATCATTGATGTTATTTGTTGGGGTCAGTGGGAAGAATAGAGCTCCAAGAACCGGATAAAGACTAACAAAGGACACATTGGACTGTGGTTTGGAGACCACTGGTATAAATGGAACCCTTCCAGAAGGCTAATATTTTGCTTTTTTGTCCTCATTTCTCAGACTG